GGTCACTGTGAACAACTGCAAATTTGAAAACCCAACAAGATATGAAACCATAATTAAAATGGAGATGGGTCATATTGAGGCACGAAAACCAAATGCTGACCGTGGTTTGTAATTCCTGATTAGGCTTTCCAATGTCATTTGTAAAATTTGGACTGAAATGTTAAGAGATTAGGACCAAGCCTAGAACATAGTAGGCATTTCACAAGATGTAGGTCCTGATAGTACAGTCAGGTGGGGGCTAGTCTCATGCGTGGACAGCCATTTTTTCTGGTAATTAGAACATACATAGGTCCTAGATCAGATGAATAAACTGTAACCTTGACCTATCCAAGAGTTCATGACTGTTTACAGTAACTGGGAATGTGGTTTAACTCCATCTCTAAAAGGAAAGCACAGAAGAAGAGGTTCTGGGAATGGGGAACCTCAGCACCCCCCATGAGGCCCCACACAAAATGACAAGTCTACTTCCTACCATCGCACGCTTTTAACATTTCCTACGCGCCCACCCTATCTCTCCTTCTAAGGCGGTGGTTCTCAATCTCTCCTGAAAATTGAAACCACTGGGGACCTTTTCAAAATCTCTGTGCCCGAGCTCTGCCCTAAATAAAATGAATCAGAGCTGATGAGAGCGGAACCCAGGCCTGAGTATTTTTTAACGCTGTTTAGATGACTCCACTGATCAGACAAGATTGTAAAATACTGCTCTGGAAAATAATAAACTTATCTGAAGTAGGAGCCATTTTAAGTAAGTTGCTTATATTTCAACCCTATGCACAGAACATAGCATGGCTGCTTAGCACCCTCCGCCAGGTCATTGGTGTATATATAAAAGAAGAAATGAATGGGCAAATAAATGAACAAATTTAGTCATGATATGAAAGTGAATATTCTAGAAACAGTCTTCATAAAGTTCATTCCTTTTTCTTCTAAATAAGCAAGAGAGCAAAAACACCCGCAACAGGGTCTTTAATCCAAAATCCACCCCTAGCTTCAGCGTAATTGGGGGAGTCTCCAGAAGTAAACATGGAACCTTCCCCTGTGGGTCAGCCTCACAGATCTCTGGTTATGGCTGCATCACTGTCTGGCCCCTGTGCATCATAGGGATTTTAAAGCAATGTAAATAATGTGGTGGTGCCAGCAGGTGGCATGGTGGTTAAGGCGCTGGATGCCACATAGCCAACCATGGTTGGAATCTTGGACCTAGTAGCTTGCTTTCTCACTTTCTCTCTCTCTTTCACAGTCTCTCTCTCTACCCTCTCTCTCTCCCTCTCTCGCTTCTCTCTCTCTGGTCAAATTAATAGAATAATGATGATAAAGTTAAATAAATAATTATTTTAAAAACAAGCAATACAATCCCTCTCTCCTATTTTCTAATTTGTTAAAATTTACTCAGATACTATTCAGCTTCTCCCATATTTTTCTGGGTAGAAGTCTGTCCATCCAATAGTGTATAATAGACCTTGGGTAGAGTGCTAAAAAGATAGAGTTTCTTGAGAGCAACAGATGGCATAGAGGTTGGACTCCTACATGGCCAATTATAGATCAAGTCCTGTACCTGGAGGCTTGAAACTCTTGCAGGGGCTGTGTGTGTGTGTGTGTGCCCAAAATCCTAAGAGGAGAGTGGAAGAGAAGGGACTCTCCATAGGGGTTATTTCTTGCTCTCTGTCGCTGTCTCTCCAGTGAGCACATGCGCCCTATAGCAAAAACCTCTCTCTAAAAAATAAATAAATAAGTTTCTTCAGACTACATTAAGATGTCCTTTAAGGTCTACTCTTCCTCTCCCTATATGAGAGCTCGTGCTCCTGTGTTTTCAACGGCTCATTCCCGCTGTCACGCCGTGCACACACCCACCACACTGACTCCATTTGCTCCATAAGGACGAAACCAGGCCCTCATCTGCCGAAGTTTTTCCTGAAGGTGGAGGAAGGCAGCAGCTGCAGAGCAACAATGCAGACAGCATCATTCTCCCCGGTGTCAGGGTGTTGCCAAGGATGCTAGTCCAGCTCTGAACCATTTTAGTTCATCTTCCTGATGTGCCCAGGGTCATCGAACACATCAATTACAAATTCCAGAAAAACTTTAAAAAAAAAAAAATTTCCAGAGGGTGCATGGCCTTGCCAGGAAAAGATACGAAGACAGTGTGAGAAAGGGGCTGTGCCTCACACCTCCAAAGGGGATGTGGTCATGTTGCAATCCTTCCTCCTCTATTTCTTCAACACGTCAAGATTTTGGCCAGGGACCAGCAGTTAGCGTAATGGCTATGTCACTGGACTCCCATGTAGTCGATCATGGTTCAAGTCCCAGACCCAGCGGCTTAAATTCATGCCAGGCACGTGTGTGTGTGCGTGCCCAAGATCCTGAGAGGAGAATGGAGGAGAAGGGATTGTGGCGTGGCCATCCCCCTGGGGGAGGGGGTGATTTCTCACTTTCTGTCTCTCTGTCTCTGTCTTTCTGTCGAGTGCACGCGCCCTATAGAAAAAACCTCTCCGAAACAAAAGAGATTTTGGCCAGATATGTACACCTCACCCTGGGTTTTTCAAGTCACCGGGACCAGGATTTGAACCTCTGTTGGCTATATGGGATCCAGCTCCCGTAAGCAATAGGTTACAGAGCTAGCTCTCTAAAAAACATTTTTAAAAGTAAAAATTAAGTTTTAAGGGTTTTTCCAAGGGGTACATTCGTTCACTGAAGAGAGACAGAGGGAAAGTGAGAAATCAGTCCTAGGGAGGATGACCCATGCTGCAATCCCTTCTCAAGAACTCCATCCTCCTCTCTGGATTTCAGGTACACATGCCCACATGCTCGGCATGATTTTAAAAATCTAGTTTACAAATGACATAATATGTTGATAATATATACTGAATTGATGACAGAAACTTAAGCTTCAACTGTTTAAACCTAAAAGTTTTAAAACGTATTGTTATTGTGGAAGGAAATACACATAGGCACATTTCAGCATTTGCAATTGAATTTTGAAAACTGACGTTATAAACCACAAAATTTCACTTAAATTTTCTTGTAAAGAACTTTATTAGGAAGAAGGACACATTCTCTAGGTCTTACTTTTATTTTGTGTCTCAAGGAACTTGAGAACGTGAAGGGGATCTTTTTTTTAACTGTTCTCTCTTCCCACGCCAGCCTCCACCATGTGGTCTTGAAGGTGAGGAGAAAGTTGTTTCTTTGCAACTTATAAAAATGACAACAGGGAGAAAGAAAAACGAAGCCATAAGAAAAAGAGAGTGTAAGATGTGAAAGCACGGCTCAATAAAAGGTTCCTTAAGAAACGCTCATAGACGAGAGGCCCAGGATGTTCATTTCATTACATCGGGTCCTGCGCTGTCTTCCATTTTTCCTGGCCGCCTCTCTACTCCTACTTGACGGGTCCTCTCTCGGGCAGGGAAGAGACAAAGACAAGGGAACGCTGCACAGGAGTGGGCCATCAACATGCAGCAGACGGGTCAGAGGGGTGGGAAATGTTCTCCATAGCTTCTGGGCACCAGAGTGGCAAGTGGGGCAGATGAACAACGTCCAAGCTCCTTTGCAGGGTCAGGTGCCCTGGTGTGTGGGGCCGATTCCTCCTGGGAAGGTAAATATCCCCTACTCCCGTTTAGACTTTCCACTCGAGGATATGGCGTCCCTTGCCCCCCAGAATAAACCGATTGCATAGGAACCAAGAGACCCAAAGTGCCACAACTACCTGCAGACCAGAGCTGCAAGTTTCGGGGTTGCGGGTGGTAAAGCGGGAAAACCTGACTGGCTATTTCCTCACCCCACCTTTGAACTGGAGAACTGAGGAGGTCGACTTCAGGTCTTCTGAGGGTCGCCAAGAGCACTACGGGCCGCTCTGCTTTAAAAAGAATCCCAGAGGGGACCAGCGACCCCACAAGTTTCCCTCTAGCCCGATAGCGTGCGGATAACTGTTTCCTTATTTACCCTCGAAACATCCCTGTGGTCTTTCCTGAGTCTCCAAGGCAGCCTCAGCTTTCGCAATCCCCTCCAGGGGGACACGGATCGCGGAGGGGTGCGGGCTGGAGACGGGATGGAAACAGAAAGGGGGCAACTCTCACAGTCCACACCTCTCCCCACTCCGCGGGCGGCTTCTCGCTCTGCCACCCGCTTGGGTCTTTCGGTCAGCGCGCAGAGGGGTGGCGGTCCCTGCGAGTTCTCTGCCCCTCCGGGTGGCGCTGCGCAGGGAAGTCACCTCCACCAGTGGCTGGGGTTAGGGTGGGGGCGCAGTGACAGAGGAGGAGGTGGCCGCGGAGCGGGAGGCAGGGGACACTGTGAAAGGGGAGGGGATGGCAGCGGAGGCGGCGGAGGGCGCGGAGGGGGCCGGGGCGGGCCCAGGGGCGGGGCTGCGGGGCCGCG